ATAAACCCACAGTAAACATCATACTCAATGGGCAAAAACTAAAACCATTCCCTCTAAAAACAGGAACAAGACAGGGATGCTCACTCTCACCACTCCTGTTTGACATAGTACTGGAAGTACTAGCCATTGAAATTAGACAGGAAGAAGAAATAAAAGGCATCCAAATTGGAAAAGAAGAAATAAAATTGTCCTTATTTGCAGATGACATGATATTGTACATAAAAAAACCAAAAGACTCCAACAAAAAACTAATAGACTTAAATGAATTTGGCAATGTTGCAGGATACAAAATTAATGCCAAGAAACCTATGGCATTTCTACACACCAATAGTGAACTTACAGAAACAGAGACTAAAAAAGCAATCCCATTTACCACCACACCTAAAAAATTAAGATACCTAGGAATAAAGTTAACTAAGGAGGTAAAAGCCCTATATAAGGAAAACTATAGGACACTGAAAAAAATAGATAGAGGAAGATGCAAACAGATGGAAGAACATACCATGTTCATGGATTGGTAGAATCAATATAATCAAAATATTCATACTTCCCAAATCAATTTATAGTTTCAATGCACTCCCCATTAAAATACCAACGACATATTTCATAGACCTAGAAAGAACTCTCCAAAAATTCATCTGGAACAAAAAAACACCCCGAATAGCCACAGCAATCCTGAGAAAAAAGAATAAAGTAGGAAGGATCTCAATACCACATTTCAGGCTGTATTACAAAGCCACTGTTCTCAAAACAGCCTAGTACTGGCACAAGAACAGACATATAGATCAATGGAATAGAATAGAAAATATGGATATCAACCCAAATCACTATGCTCAATTAATATTTGACAAAGGAAACATGAACATACAATGTATTCAAGACAGTTTCTTCAATAAATGGTGTTGGGAAAATTGGACAGATACATGCAAAAGAATGAAACTAGATCACCAACTTACACCATACACAAAAATAAACTCAAAATGGATACAGTACTTAAACGTAAGACAGGAAACCATAAAAATACTAGAGGAATCCACAGGCAGCAAAATCTCAGACATATGCCAAAAGAACTTTTTCACTGATACTGGCCCTAGGGCAATGGAAGCTAAAGAAAAAATAAATAAATGGGACTACATCAAAATGCAAAAGCTTTTTTACAGCAAAAGAAACCATTAACAAAACAACAAGAAAGCCCACTCTATGGGAGAACATATTTGCAAATCTTATCACTGTTAAAGGTTTAATCTCCAACATCTACAGAAAGCTTATACAACTCAATAAAAGGAAGATGAATGATCCAATTAAGAAATGGGCAATGGACCTAAGTAGAATATTTTCAAAAAGAAGACAGAAGGAAGGCCAAGAGGCACATGAAAACATGCTCAAAATCACTAATTATCTAAAGATGCAAATCAAAACGACAATGCAGTACCATTTCACATGTGTCAGAATGGCCAACATCAACAAATCAATAAATGACAAGTGCTGGCGAGGATGCGGAGGAAAAGGAACCCTTGTTCACAGCTGGTGGGAATGCAGACTGGTGCAACCACTGTGGGAGAACAGTATGGAGTTTCCTCAAAAAACTGAAAATGGAATTCCCATTTGACCCAGTAATCCCACTTCTAGGAATATATCCTAAGAAACTAGAAACACCAATCAGAAAGGATATATACACCCCTATGTTCATAGCAACACAATTTACAATAGCTAGGATTTGGAAACAGCCTTGGTGCCCGTCAGCAGATGATTGGATAAAAAAACAAAACAAAAAAACAATGGTACATCTACACAATGGAATACTATGCTGCCATAAAAAAGAAGGAAATGTTATCATTTGCAGCAACTTGAATGGAATTGGAGAACATTATGCTGAGTGAAATAAGCCAGTCAATGAAAGAAAAACACCACATGATCTCACTCATTTATGGATAATATAGAACATTATAAACCAATGAACAAAAAGATAGATACAGAGACAGTAAAGCAACAAACAGACTGTCAAATTACAGTAGAGAGGGTAGGGAGATATGGGGGAGATAAGAGATCAACCGAAGGATTTGTATGCATGCATATAAGCATAACCAATGGATGCAAAACTCTGGGGAGGGAGGGCATGTATTGGGGAGAGGGGAGTTGGTAAGATATGTACACATATAATACCTCAATAAAAAGATGTAAGGAAAAAATATAGCATATGGAATACAATTAGTAATAGTCTAATAACTATGTATGTGTCAGATATGTATGAGATTTATTGGGATGATCACTTAGTAAGTTATATAATGTGTAATCATTGGGATTTACACCTGAAACTAATATAATATCGTATATCAACTAATTGAGAAATAGAAATTATTTTAAAATAATTTTTAAAAATGAAAGTGTTCATAAAGTATGGTTCAAGTCACAAGAAGCCATAGGCTTATATAAAGAAGATAAACAATAATAGAACCTATAAGGAATGCTTACTCAATAAAAGTAAATAGTATGTGGCTTGGAGTGATAGGGTGCACTGGGGAGGACACTGCAAAATGTTACAGCAGAGAAGGCAATTAAATTGAATGATCCTTTGCCAATATTTTATTATTATGTCTACTATATCTTTGTCCTGGGTTTAAGATATTGTTTTACCTATTTCCAAAATATAATGAATTCACAAGAATTTTTGAAGATTCATTGCAATTCAATCTCCTCAGTATTGGAGTTACTCTAGAACCTAGAGAAACCATGTTTGATACATGGGCTGGACAGCCCTGTTATTGGCAGCCTAGGTCTGGCAATAAGTGCACACACAATTTAAAGAAATATAGGTTAAATGAAAAAAAAAATGCTTACAAGCTATCAGGTCCACATACATTGAGTGGCCAGATTATGATCTCTAAATGCATAATATACAAATTGTCCCCTCGACCAGGAGTTCGACCAGCAGGAAGGTCAGCCAACCGCCCATGTCCTCTCCCCCTAGCCAGGCTGACCAGACCCCACTCATGCATGAATTGATGCACCAGGCCTCTAATATGTACACCAATAAAAGAGAAATATGCAAATCGACCCATTCATCTGCAACACCCACAAGCCAATGAGGAGTGAGTATTCAAATTAACCTAACAAAGATGGTGGGTGGATTTGCATATGCAGTCATGAAGCAGCTGGGTGGGTCAGGATGCCTGCTATGAGGGGCATGGTGGGGGAGTGGAGGGAGCTTCATTGAACTCTGAAGACTCCTGCTGGAGTGAAGACCTGGGTCTTAGGTGCTGGAGGAAAACCGATGCCAGCAACCAGGGGAAGGAAGGCCTATTCTTGCAAGAATCTTCATACAATGGGCCTCATATATATATGAGGCCCATTGTGTGTGTGTGTGTGTGTGTGTGTGTGTGTGTGTGTGTGTGTGTGTGTGTTTGTGTGTGTGTGTGTTCAGAGATCAAAATAATCTGGCCACTCAGTGTATATGCCAAATAGCCTCTCCCTTTGCCCTTATCTTTGATTTACTAGTACTTGGTCTTCGAAATTAAGAAACAGACTAGTTAATGGGAGAATGTGTTTTCCATTGAAAATGAATTCATTTTATTTTAAAAGAATTGCAATGGATGAACAGGGACCATGTCTAATCAGAGGCACTAGTATATATTTTTTTTTTATGGTCCTCACAACTTTGTTACAAGATGAGCAATGATGCTCAATTAAGACTTACTGGTTGACTGATTAGTAATGGCTTTAGAAAAATTACTGCTTGATAAAAATTAATAATTCCTGAAGTCTGTCAGTTGAAGAACAAGCTAAAAAGCAATCCAGGCATTCAAAGAAATTATTAAAATCACAAATTAAGTCATTTCTATGGACTTCATGGAAGGAAATATATTTTTAATGAGGAAATTGAAGCTAATATATAACAGTTTTCGTGTTACCTAGTAACAGAGTATTAAAGCAGGTTAAATTATTAATAAAAATATAGGAACTTGGAAATTTAACCTTTATACATTTTCCTTTCCTTTCTCTTTTATATATAGTTTTTAAATTGATATTTTTTAAACATACTTGGTCATATTATGTAGTTTCCATTTATAATTTGCTTTGCTATTCATTAGTTGTGGAATCTTCATAAAATGACTCACTACCAGACTTTGTAAAAATCCGAATCTAAAGTGTGTGTGTGCCTGGAAGAGCAGGGAGCCCCCAAGGAAACTTGCTGGGTGATACCTAGGCTAGTCAAATGCCTAAACTCCCACTTATTTGGTGCCACCACTGTATTCCCTAAATTAGCCAAACTAATCCCTGAGAAAGAAATTGTTGACCCACAGATCCCTGAGGGAGAAACTGTTCACATAAAGCCATTAAGAATTTGGAAGTTATTTGATATGGAGCAATAGGTTGCCAATAAGTGATTCAAGAAGTTATTGTGGGGAGAATAACAGAGATAAATGAGATGGAAGGAAGGTTTAAAAACTAAAAACCATGGCCTAGCATACAGGAGGACATGGTTGTGAATAAAGGAGGACTTGGTGTGGTACCACCACTTCCTCCTCCTTTGGTCTGTGTGCCTATCACAGGGATTCTAAAAGCGCTATGTTGGGAAGAAGCATCTGGTAGTTCACAAACTCCATAGTCCATAAGAGCCACTATGAGGAGAGCCCAGGGAAGAATTTGCTATTTCCAGTGGAAAGTAAGTGGCGGTTACTAGTTATAATGATTATATTCTTTTTGGATCAGGATCTGCCACACGTATCTTTCTAATAAGGAATCAACAGCTTAAGAAATAAAGGTGTTTTAGTTAATCCATGAAATAGATAATTACTTAAAGGATTTCTCTTCTTCCCAAAGCAATGTTTTCCCTTTTATTTTTTTCCCCTCCTTTCTGCACTCCTCTCCACCCCCCACAAATAAATTACAAAAACATGGCCTAGAAACCCATGTCTTGCTGCCTTCCACATCTTCATTGCCACCTAATGGGAAAGTAAGCACAGCAGCCATCCCAGGCGCAGAGGAGGTGGTGTACTCACGTCAGTGTTGCACAGCTTGTATTGGCGATAGGCCCCAATGCAGGAGATTGCTGCAGACCGGGCTGGCTGAGCGAAGCTCAGGGCTGCACTGTGGGCCCCCATGCCATGGCTGCTGCTTGTTTCTGGGCTGTGCAAGGAACTTGAAACTACAGGGAAGCTCTGGTCATGGGTCAAAGGCAGCTGGTAGATGGATGCCTCTGAGGTCTGCAGTCCAGAATGAGGGCCACTGTCACTCTGGTACAGAGGTCCATGGTGGGGGGCCCCGCCACCTGGAGGGTTATAGCCATAGCTAAGACCCGATGTCACTTGGGATCTGGTATGCCGGGATGAGGACCTCTGCCTCCGAAGTCTCTGCATTGAGTGTGTAGAGTCCGTCTGCAGTGGAAAAATGTATGGGGCCTTTCCATAACCATACTTGCCAGGGCCGATCGGACCTCGGGTCCTGCTCCTATGGAGACACATAAGAAAGGAGATGAACAGTCATGAGAATTGTCACCTTCATCCAGAAGCTCTGTTCCATGGTAGAGGGACTGGGTAGAAACAGGCTTAGGAGAGAGCCATGGTGGGACAGGGAGGCAGAGGGCGCATTCCAGGAAGAGGGAATGTCAGGCTGGAACAGCCTCTGCAGAGGCTGGAAGACAGAATGAAGGTTGGTTATGTAAGCAGTTGAAAATGAGTTTAGGACAGTGAGCTGTGGTCTGTACATGACTTACATCAGGGAGTTTGGGTATTTTTATAGGTTGTAAGGAGCCACTGAAGGTTTTTTGAGAAGTATTAAGATATAATTGTAATTTCAGCCATAGTAACTTTCTGTTCATTTTTTTTCTGATAGTGGTTTGTGTGTTTTTTCTCACTCAACTATGCCTGATATTTCAGACCCTGTTTCCATTACCATTCATGTCCAAATAGCATTTCTAGATAAGTAGTATTTAGCTAATTAGACAAATTCTGATGCAGTCCTAGGCCTGACTTGTACTGTGTCAGACTTAATCCCTTAAGAAACCAGAAGAGGTTGAGCAACTAGCTACTCATCATTCTCAAGGCAACCCATGCTGAACAATGGTCATCTTCACATTGGTATGGATTTATTGAGATCTGCTGCCTTATAAGACCTTATGGAAATCATTTGAACAGTGGTATGCTGGGAAATGTTTGACAACTGGCATTCCAGGGCATAAAAGCTCTGATTTATAGCATTTTTTCATTTTCATAGTGTAATACAACCAGTATGACCAACTTCAAGCTGCCATTGTAAAGACACAATCAGCTTCTAGGGGAAAACCAGATCCAGGACAACAATGCATGTAAAGTGACTATAAAGAAGCTATTTGCGTAAAATAGCAATGTTAATGAAATACAAAAATGAATCAAGCATGGTTCCCAAGACTTCAACCTTACAACTAAAAGCAACTAGAACGTAATGCAGAGCAAGATAAAAAATTTTGGAGGCATTGCAAAAAATGGTGCACTTGGAACTCTGAGGCAAGAGGAAGCACTTTTTCCTGTTAAAATGTTGTTGTTGTTTTTATCTTAGAGAGAGAGGAAGAGGAAGCATCTATCAATTTCCTTCCATATGTCAGAGACTGACCTGTAAATTGGGCATGTGCTCTGATCAGGAATTGAACTGCCGACCTTTTCACTCAACCAACTGAGCCACACCAGCCAGAGCAAGAGAAAGAACTTTTGACTGGAAGAATCTAAGAAGTTTTCAGCCACCAGTCTGAGACTTGGGAAGCACAGGTTCCAATATTCTGTGGGAGGACTTAATTAAGTACCAGGTAAGTAATATAACTCTTACTTATGAACTGGATTAAATTACTGCTAAGGTTGTTCCAACTCTAAAGTCATGTATTTCCATAATTCTACTTTTACATAAAATTGGAAATGTGCCCAAGGGTTTCTACAAGATGGCTCCATTAAAATAACCACATTAAAGTAGCAATTAATATGAATAGTTAATTTCTATCTTGATGAAATTTCTTTACTTACATAACCACTGAATATAAAATTTAACAGACCACAACCAGTTAACATCTTTATCACTAATTGCACCTTCATTCTTAACTGATGATTTTGAATTAAACTATGCTAACAGTGCTTATTGTGGTTTTAGGCATTTCTCAATTAATCCTGGAAACACTTGGGATTCAGTTAATGATGGGAGATCCAGCATGTTGCTTTAAGAGATGCAATTAAGAAGTTAGGCTTCCTATTTCTGACATATTGCATGCTTCTGTTTCTCTTAGCTACTTAACTAAGGAGTAAAAGACCTATATGCAAAAAACTACAAGACACTAAAAATAGAGATAGAGAAAGACATAAACAGATGGAAGAACATACCGTGTCATGGAATGGTAGAATCAACATCATCAAAATGTCAATACTACCCAAACCAATCTATAGATTCAATGCATTCCTCATTAAAATACCAACGGCATATTTCACAAACCTAGAACCAACTTTCTGAAAATTCAACTGAAATAAAAAAAGACCTCAAATATCTGCAGCAACCCTAAGAAAGAACAAAGTACGTAGTATCTCAATCAAGCTGTATTATAAAGCCACTGTTCTCAAAACAGCCTGGTACTGGCACAGGAACATATAGATCAATGGAATAGAATAGAGAAACCAGATATTGATCCAAACAACTATGCTCAATTAATATTTGACAAAGGAGGCATGAACATACAATGGTGTGAAGACAGTATCTTCAATAAATGGTGGGAAAATTGGACAGATACATGCAAAAAAAAAAAAACCTAAAACTAGATCACCAACTTATACCATACACAAAAATAAACTCAAAGTGGATAAAGGAGTTAAACATAAGAAGGGAAACCATAAAAATACTAGAGGCATCCACAGGCAGCAAAATAGCAGACATATGCTGAAGCAATTTTTTCACTGATACTGCTCCTAGGGCAATGGAAACTAAAGAGAAAATAAACAAATGGGACTACATCAAAATAAAAAGCTTTTTCATAGCCAAAGAAATCATCAACAAAGCAACAAGAAAGCCCACTGCATGGGAGAACATATTTGCCAATGTTATAACCAATAAGGGTTTAATCTCCAACATTTACAGAGAACTCATACAACTTTAAAAAAAAAGGGGGGGGGGGGGGAAGATAAACAACCCAATCAAAAAGTGGGCAATATACCTAAATAGACACTTTTAAAAAGAGGACAGAAGGAAGGCCAAAAGGCACATGAAAACATGCTCAAAATCACTAATTATCTGAGAGATGCAAATCAAAATGACAATGCAGTACCATCTCACACCTGTCAGAATAGCTATCATCAACAAATCAACAGACGACAAGTGCTGATGAGGATGTGGAGAAAAAGGAACCCCCGTGCACTGCTGATGGAAATGCAGACTGGTATAGCCACTGTGGAGGACAGTATGAAGTTTCCTCAAAAAAATAAAAATGGAACTCCCATTTAACCCAGTGATCCCACTTCTAGGAATATCTCCAAAGAAGCTAGAAAAACACCAATCAAAAAGGATATTTGCACCCTTATGTTCATAGGAGCACAATTCACCATAGCTAAGATTTGGAAACAACAGCCTAAATGCCCATCAGCAGATGAGTGGATTAAAAAACGGTGGTGCATCTACACAATGGAATACTACGCTGTGGTAAAAAAAAAAAAAAAAAAAAAAAAAAAAAAAAAAAAAAAAAAGAAGAAGAAGAAGAAGGAATTCCTACCATTTGCAGCAGCATGGATGGAACTGGAGAGCATTATGGTAATTGAAATAAGCCAGTCAGAGAAAGATAAATATCACATGATCTCACTCATTTATGGAATATAATGAACAACATACACTGATGAACAAAAACAGATCCAGAGACAGAGAAGCTGCCATCAGAGCATCAAACCTCAGAGGAAAGATAGGGGAGGGTGTAGGTAAGGGGGAGAGATCAACTAAAGGACTTGTATGCATACATATAAGCCTAACCAATGGACACAGACAACAGTGGGGTGAGGGCATGAGTGGGGGGGGGATGGAGAGGTAATGGGGGGATAAGGACACATATATAACACCTTAATCAATAAAGAAATTTAAAAAAAGAAGTTAGTCTTATAAATATGTATAACTTGAATGTAATTTGCCTTTTTCTTTCTTGTGGCAGGCCAGGTAAAATGACATCATGCAAAAACAAAGGAAAGAATTTCTCTGTGTGTGCGTGTGTCTTCTTTTTAAAAACCTGAAAGCCTATCAAAAATTCTAGCCTTAAAGACTGAGTGAAAACACCCAGCTGAAGGTGACTTAAGGTGACAGAAATAAAGCAGAGCTTCTCAAACATGGATGTGCCTAGGAAGCACCGAGGAATCTTGTTAAGAGACAGGTTCTGGTTGTCCATCTCCAACAAGCTCCCAGGTGCTGCTGGTGCTGTTGGTCCACAGACCCACTGCTTTGAGAAATAAAATCATAGGATAGAATTGAAATTCCAAACCAAAAGGTGAAAATTCAACAGCACAATTTATCATGTTTAATGAATAAATATAAGTATAATTTTTTACAAAAACCCTCTGAGTTTGTGACATATGTAAAAAGACCTAGGCCAGACTGCACTGTGGCAGCTCACCTAGCGAGAGCTGCTGAAGCAAGACTCTGTCCTGGGAACAGACCAGCCACAAAACCTGCTGTTGGATGAGGACTTGTACAAGCATCTTTTCAAAGGCTGTCCATCACTCCTGAGGGGAGTAATGTGTACATGTGCAAATGTGTATTTTTTTTCTCACACTGCTTTGTGGGAGGCTCTGCCTAAGCAGGAAAACCATTCAAAAGCCACAAATAGTAATACCATCAGAAAGATGATCAACCTATCTAATAAAAGAGTAATATGCAAATTGACAATCACCCCAACACAAGATGGCCACCCCGATATGGTCAAAGATTGCTGCCACCATGTGGACACAAGATATCCAACAGGGGAGGGCAGTTGGGATCAAGCTTGCAGGGGAGAACAGTTAGGGGTGACTGGGCTGGCAGGTAAGGGCAGCTGGGGGCAACCAGGCCTGTAGGAGGGCAGTTGCAGGGGGACAAGGCCAGCAGAGGAGGGCAGTTAGGGAACACCGGGCCACCAGAGGTGGGCAGTTGGGGAGGGGGAGGGGCATGCAGGGGAAGACATGGGAGACCAGGCTGTCAGGGGTGGGCAGTTAGGAGTTACCAGGCCAGCAAGGGGTGGGGGGAGTTAGGGTCAATCAGTCCAGCAAAGGAGCACTTAGGCATCAATCAGGCTGGCAGGGGAGTGGTTAAGGGATGATCAGGCTGGCAGGCAGAAGCAGTTAGGGGCAATCAGACAGGCAGGCAGGTGAGTAGTCAGTGGGATCGAGCCTAAATGGGCAGTCGGACATCCCTCAAGGGGTTCCATATAGGAGAGGGTGCAGGCTGGGCTGAGGCACACACACACCCTCCACCATCCCCTGTGCACGAAT